ATATCAAGTGACTGTAGTTCATCTGCTCTGGTAAGAGCTGCACATAAAGTTCCCACTGCTGTGAGTTATGGGTCATTTGCTCATTAACAAAGTGACTAATCCAGTAGGCAAGAGAATGTCTACTGAAAATAAATTACATTATACTACTGACTGCTGTGATGGATTCTTTATATGCTCTTTGTGTTATCGTTCAGAGGAGCCCTTTTACCCAACCCTTGGTGTTGCTGCCATGTTGTAAGGAATTTTATCAGAGCAAACAGGAGTCTTCATGAGGCAAGAAACAATAGAACAAGCAGGAAATAAATAATAACCAGATAACCAGGAAACAGCAGTAACACAATAGATGTTCAGTCATTAGTTTAAACTGTCGTGTTTGTCCTGAAATGATCAGAACAACCACAGTGGAGCTGCAGTAGTGAAGTTTATGATAAATCCACTCTTGTGCATTTCAAAGGCCACTTCAGGAGAGTTGGAGGAATAAATAAGGATATCAAGGGCTAAAGTTGTTGATGAAGGTAGGCGAGCTGGGAAACACCTCCTAGCATTTAAATTCTGTAACATTTTAGAAGCACTTACCTCTGAAAAGAAACATTGTTTTTCTTACCCACCATTTATGATGACCTAACACTAATAGGGTAAACTAGATGGATGATTAATCACCATGGGGTTTCCTTCCCCACAGGTTTTCTTCCCAGATGGAGTTTAATGAAGCAAGCCTGCTCAGCCATTTCAGTCCATCTAAGTGGCAAAAGATAGTTCCAACACATTGAAAGATCTTTCTGCCACTGTCTAATCACTGACAAAGTTATATAGATTAAAAATTGTTAACCAAGCTACATTGATCCTGGATATTCAATTTCATAATATTTATGCAAACATCATAAATTCTGAAAACTAGGGTCATTTATGACAAGATTTTTTTTATAATTTAACCTGTTCAGTGCATACAGGATGAAGAAAAATGATGGTTAGATTCAAGTTTGCTTTATTGACTATTGATGCTTACCAACACAAAAGGATTCTGCATTATGTTTGTAGCATTCTGACTGCTTTTTCCACTTTGATTTCTCTCCTGTACCTCTTTTTCTGGAGATACTTAAAAGGAACTCTACCAGTCTGTAAGTAAAGCAACATTTAACAGTGAGCAGCAAAGTTCTCGCTTATTTGAAGCTCTCAGAGTCAAAGCTAAGTTTAATACAACCTAATCTGAGTCATCACCAAAAAAATACAATCATTTCTTTTCCCCCTGTACATGTTGCAGTACAAAACAGAAAGGGATCTGAGTTTTTAGTTGTCGCTGTTCATGACCCTCTTTGGTAAGACTTTCTGAATTTCTATTTATGTGCTTAAGAACAGGAACAAGCTCTGTTTATTACTGCATAAAAAGTCCTCCTTCTTCACTTTCTTCTAAGTTACACAGAAGCCTTGATCAGCCTTGAAGATATGAGGTTGTTTTCCTGACATTTATTGAATAACTGTTATTTAAATTTTTTGCTTGTTTCAATGAATTTGTCATACATTGTATTTTGTAATAGAGTCTTTTTTCACCTGTTATTTACATTAAAATTTCAATGCTGTGTTGCTAGAAATAAGGCAATGAATGTATACAAGTAAAATTGAGATTCACAAAAAAAATTAAAAGACTGGAAATATACCAGAAAATGCAAATATTTGTGTTGCTATCAAATTACATTTATTTGTAAGAAATATTAAAAGTTAAAAGTATTGCCATAAAAAGTAACCTTGAGCATCTCTGTTCAAGCATTTCTAATTCTTTCCAAGTTAATCAGGTCTCACAGGAAAAGAATGATGTAGCAAAAATAACCTTTCTCAGCCTAGTGGCAAGAGGCACAGTGGTGTAAAAGCCCTTGAACCAGAGCCTATAGAAGTCATTATACAGTGACATCACTCAGGGTTGGATCAAGGCTGGAGCAAAAGATATTTGGAATTTTAAGCAAATGTGAGACCAGAATCAAGTTCAATCTATAGATATCAATTGCACTGAAATGTGTTTCTCTATTTTAGTAGAATCAGAGGACAATTCTATCAGTCTGCATCAGTACCTGCAAAACAAGTTGCTTTTCCAAAGAAATCTGAGTAGCAGACAATTTGCTCCCCAAAACTATTTCCTTTCACATTTTCATTAAAGCTATAATTCAATTTAGGAAAATAAAATAAATAAATACCCCAAACAGGTTTTTAGTGTTGTTTTTATAGTTCAGAATTCTACTCTGAAAAATTAAGTTGGAAAACCACAATGCTATATATGCAAATAGAATTAAAATGCCTGAAGGTTTGCTTTTCCATGGTGGAGACATTACAGAATAACTGACAGGAACTTAAATTTCATCATTATCATGCATTTGTAGAGTTTCTTCAAAAGTTACCTTGATAGCTAATTTGAGATTGCTGACTTAGATCACAATGCAGTAATTAGCCAAAGTTAAAATTAAAGTAAAATTTGAAAGAAAATTAATCAAGTAATACAATACATGGTGTAGTACTTTTTCCATGGGCAACTCAACTGATAATCTTACAGCTCATGAATTATCAGGGAAGACATATGCTTTGATCGTACAACTTTGTTACAAAGCTCTCTTTGAATTAAGGTGGCAATGCAATAGGTGCTGTCTTACTGAAAATACTCTATGCGGGTTTTTATACTATTTTGAAGAGGTATTTTGCATCAATTTTTATTGTGGCAATAAAAACAGTAAAAGTTTGAGGACTGCAGGATGTCTTGTAGTTCTCTACAGCTTTGGAGGAGTGCGATTAGTTATAGATCACTCACACATGTCTTACAGAAAAATAATTCTTTGAAAGGCTAGAACAAATCCTGAATAAAAATAGTCAATGCAAACATTTTAAAATAATTCTGTTCCTTATCTGACCATGAGGTGAAATGAAACAGAAGGAGGAAAAGAAGAACTTGTATCTCAGCATCTCTGCTCTCCAGTAATTTTTAATGTCATAACTCGGAGTTTTGATCATTTTTCATGACAGAGAGTTGCTTGGCTGTTGTGGTGTGTTGTAATATCCTGTTTTAGACTTCCAGGCCACCTCCCAGGTGTGGCAATACCTCTCTTCCCCTTCCCCCTCGCCCCTTGCTACTTGGCTATCTTTTATACATAGTTTTATACTGAAACTGGAATAAGAAAAGTAAGACAAAGCCAAACCTAAACTCTGTATGCTCCATTTGCTGAACACATGGTTTTCTCCCCCCAGTGTGTGTGTGTGCCAGGTAGCATTACACTGGGCAGGATGATAATAGACATGAAAAAATACAGTCGGTGCACGAGCAGAGATCTCTGTGGCTGAATGTACCAGGACTGGGGCTGGTACATGGATGGGGCAGAAGTTCCAGCTGTGAGAGAAAAGCAAAGTTCAGCTTCTCAAGGAGGAGCTGATCTTGTTTCCAATTAGTTCCCCTGCCCAGTGCTGGGCCACTGGGAAAGGAGTTTGTCCCTGCTTATCTGAGCACCCTGCCTGAAGGGCAGAGCTGGGGCCACTTCCCTCCCGGCAGAGCCAAGGTCATTAAGCTGGAGTGATGGGAGCTGGCTTGGTTCCATGAAGGGACAAAAAGCCTGAGTGGAGGTGGGTAACCCACCTTTGGGCTGATACCCTGGCTGCTGAGAAGGGGTAAGGTCCAGCTGGCAGCACGAGATTAGAACAGGGCTCTTGTAGAGAAGGGCATGTCTGAGCCCGGAGTGTTGACATGACCTTGTGGGCCCCTGTTTCCCACCCTTGGTCTGCACCCTGAGGACATCAATCATCTCACCATCAGCTGGGAATTGTGATGGCCACACCTCCACATAGCCCCATGGCAGCACCTACATGGAAGGCGTGACCAGAAGCTGCTCCTCTTTGGAGTTCCTCCTTTACAAGATCTTTCTGGAAGAGCTTCAGCAGAGAGCCAGATGAAGATGCACCACTAACAGGAACAGGGCATTTGGCCCCTGCTGTCCTCTGTCTAGGCACCGGCTGCAAAACATTGCTTTTCCTCTGGTGGGGAGGGTTTCTGCATTCAGGTCAGTGAGTGACTTATCCAGACCTGAAGCAAGTCCAACACTTCCTAGAATATAGGTTTTGGGGGGACCCAGTTTTCTAAGATGAAAAGTTTTGAGGTGCTAAGTGAACAAATACCTGGCAGAGAAGGGTGCTTACAGTGCATACCATCTCTACTGAAATATTTGTATGAGGCAGATAGCAGTCTGAATTCTTGCATTACTCATTTGACCACAGGACTGATGTAGTTGAAAACAGGCCTTCTTTTAACATAGTAGTTATCCTTGGGAAACTCTCTCTGGTGAGGGGAAAGCCAGAAGATGAAACGTTACCTGCACATTAGGTTATTTTCCCCATTCACTTCCATCTCTCTTTGGTTTTGTTACTCTCATCTTTTTCTTCTTATCCACCACTGCATTCTGAAAAGGGCAGCTTTAATTTTGGGAAGCCAAACAAATCACAGTGAATAATTATTTAGTTTTAAATAATTCCATCCTTTTCTTCCTTTGTAATTTATGTGATGTTGCTACAGAATGCACTAACCAAGCTAAAGGGAAAGAGCCAGTTTAAGGGGTAGGAAAGAAGAACTGAATTATTCTTGGTCCTGCAAAGAATGCATTTAGGAGTTTCTTAGCCCAGCTCTCTCAGACCAATGAAACTTTCTTCTCTGCTCCTGCATGAGCACTGAACAGTCGGCACTGAAGGGTGACCACTCTCACGTGTGACCGCTGTGTCTGTGCCGTGGGCAGTGTCAGGCGCTGGGCAGGATCCATCTCTGTAGGCTCACTGGAGTAAAACTATCCTTGGAAAAGCAGCTTTGGATTCACTGACTCCTTCGAGATAAGAGATTGGGAAGGGGAAACACAACCCCCAGCATTTTTAGATATCGATGGCACAGACTTTTGCTCCCTGAGCACAGGCTCCTGACATGAGGGTGGAAGAGAGGGGAGTTTCCTCTGCTCACCACATGGTGATCACAAATGTCACCTACAGACAAAAGAAAATGAAAAGGAACAATAAGTGAAACACGGGCAATGATTTAGTCTCTTGAAAATGCACATTAATCATCTGACAGCCCTCAGCTTTACTGAACTGAAAGTTCGTTTCTCATGGCAAAGTTAACTTTGTGACCAGCGCCGGGAGGCGAAGCTGGAGCAGGGCTGGCAGCAATACTCAGGAGCGGCAACTGCATGAGTGTATTGAGAAGCAGAGTATTCACAAAAACTCCTAACGGACCCATAAATACCCAGCTTAGCTGCTGGTTTAATCACTCGCAAAGACATTGCCTGACTCTTTTAAAGCCGCGAGTATCTGAAGTTTTGGAAGCGATTGTGAATAAATACTTCACTGCCCGCTCACAGCGACGTTTCCCCGGCGTTAGCTCATTAGAGTGCCTGAAAGAGACTCGACAGAAAATAAGTTAAATGCAACTTAAATCATCACCCCATTCGACGCTAAAAGCAACACGAAAGGCGAGGCGTTCACCAAAAGGTTGCAAAAGGCGTCAGCTGCACCGCAGTTGGGAGTGGAGGGAGCGGGATTGCGGGATGGGAGCGGCCAGCGTGGCTGGGATCCCAGTCCCCAGTTGTGGTGGTACTTTTTTTGCTTTTTTTCCTCCACACGATTTTTTTTTTTTTTTTGGTGACTTCGAAAGATGTCACGGCGAAGTGAAATCTTTGTGGAGGGCTGATCATGCATTCAGACTGTAGTGTTTTCAAAATGTGATGTTTTGCAATGATGACATTAGAGTAGCAACCAAGGGTCCGAGACAGCAACGCCTGCTGCAGCTGGGCTTCGCTTTGAAATGCCCAAGACAATGGGGGCCACTGTTCTTCATCGCTTCGCCTTTCCATTCCATTTGCATAGTCTGTTCTGCCTGATTGACCAGCTTGGGCTGTCCAAGGGACCAGCATTGTTCACAGATCACTTCAAGATGGCACAGATGACAAGATTCAGGTGAGAGATGAAGTGGGATGATTCTCAAATGCCATAAGAAAAGGCTACCCTGGGAACTTTAAGCTCAAGTGAAATAATTCAAGAATTTAAGCAGTTAATTTTTTTTCAAGAAAACGATCAAATTTGGAACTGCGCCGTCATGACACACAAATAAGTAATAAGAGGTTTGTGTGTTTCGCTGAGGTGTTTTGATTTGTTTGTGTTTGGTTGTGTTGGGGGAAATTTTTTTTTCTGTTTTGTTTTTTTAGTCGGGTAGTTTGCTCTTCTTTTTTTTTTTTTTGTCTTTTCCATCCCAGATCTCACCTTCCTCAGGCTAGGACGCGAGCCATGCCACTGGAAACCTTCGTGAATAAAAGTTTGCTTACAAAAAAAAAAAAATCTTAAGTCGAATATAAATAAAGCTCACCATAGAGGCGAGTTTAGTTTAGGATTGCTCAGTTAAGGCTCATGAAGCGCTTTCGAGGTGGGGCAGAAGGCGAGCGCTGCCAGCCCTGCGGCGGGACGGCGGCCCCAGCCCGGGCTGCGGGCGGGCACCGAGCGCAGGCTGCGGGACGCCTCGCTCTTCCCCAACAAGTTGCAAAATCTCTGCTGGCACAGATTCACCACTGAAATGTCACGGTTTCTGCTGCTTTTTCGCTTTTTTTTTTTCTTTCCCCCCCATACTCAGGTTCTCAAGTAAACACACACACACAGTAGCGCCCCTAAAATGAGTTTCATTTGACACCGATGTTTTGACTTCATCTCAAAAAGACAAAATCTTTGTCGTACAAGTATGTTTTCCCTGGAGGGGTTTCCAGCACAATTTGCTATAATTTCTTTACACCTAACGGAACTGATGGGATCTGAGCAGTAAAACATATTCCCACAGTAGTTTCGCTCTCTCGCACTCTCTGTTACCCTCCTGGGGTTCAGCTCACTCTCTAGCATAAATATTGCCAATAATTGTGCTAATACGGTGATTCTCGGAAGGCAGCAGAACTCTCTTCTCCTCGTGTTTCAGACCTAAAGACTGATGCGACTCCTGCTTAATCTCTGGGTGTATTCTCTCCTAGCTGCTCGTCTTTCCCCTGCAGAGACTAATACACTTAATTACATGATTTACAAGAATTGCCAACAAGGTCCCAGGGGCCGCTAAGGACCGGCCGCCGCCCGACGAGCGGGGCGTAAGGTGCGTGTCTGACTGCAGCACGGCACCTCAAAGGGAAGCCGCCTTCAGCGGGACTCGGCTCTTCACAATTATCCAAAATTTCAGGCCCTTCTTCCCTGTTTTACACACCCCCCTTTCATGTTGTGTTCCGGTCCCAGGTTGGTTTGAGGGATGCCGTGGTCCCCGCTTCCCCTCCTCCCGAGAAGGTGGCTAAAAGCTGCAGAGGAAACTTAAGTGGCTCTGGAGTTTGTTTAATTTCCCTCCAGTGTTTACTGATAATTCGAGAGACGCTTATCTCGGGGAATATAACGATTAATACAACCGCAGGTTTCCAGATAAGTGATTGTGATGGAGATTGTTGGCGAGAAAATAGACAATTATCCGCTGTTAGCTTTACATAAAGATCGCATTAACTTGAATTAGTTATCAGACAAAAGAACATCAGAAAGCTGCACCTTTCTGCCAAGGCAACCGCTTGCAGGCGGTGTGCTCCGCACAAGCAAACGCACCGCTGCCTGCCCAGCATCTCCCGGCATGAAAGGGGCGGCGGGCCGGCCGGGGGGGCCGCGGCACCGGCACGCCGCGCTCCTGCCGAGGGAGGCACGGCCGGGCGCTGAGCGGAGCGGGGAGGGCGAGCCCCGGGGCCGGGGGATCGCTTTAATATCAGCTGCCCGGCCCGGCCGCTTTCATTTCCATAGGGCGAAATTAACATGGACGTGGGGCAGGCGCTGGGGCGGGGGCAGTGCGCCCGGGGAAGAAGCGGCGTGGCTGATCGCCAAGGAAACCTCGCTGAAAGGGAAGGGTAGAGCATGTGGCTATTAAAACCCCGACACAATAATAACATTAAGGGAAAAAAAAAATAAAACCATAATGATAACTTGGAGGCAGCTCGCCATTTGCATATGAAACCAGCGGCCAGAAGCGCGGCAGCCCCTTGCCGCATTATGTGCTCGGCGGTCCGAGGTCGTCCCCCCCCCAGCAAGACTGAAAAGCCTTTTGATTATTTCTCCTCTCCCTAGGAAAGGCTGATTCCTCCGTAATTGATAGCGGGGAAGGGCCGTAATTAATTTTTCAGGGAAGTAAAGTGCAGCTTCTTCTCTCGGCTGGAGGGGAAGGGCTGAGAGCGAGGAAAGGGGGCGAGGGAGCGGAGGCGAGAGGAACTCCTTCCGAGAACCCCTAATTAAAAGTAATCACGCTTCACCCTCTCCGGCACCAAGACCCCCCTCGACTCCTCGCCACCCCCTCGCTCGCCGGGGAGGCAGGAAGGGCAGGGACCGTGGGCTGCTTTCACCGAGTCAGAAAGCATTCACCAGGCGTTTGTATTGCGGGAGGTTTCTGTGGGAATCGGGTGGCTCGAGTAATTGGGAGGGGAGGAGGGTGCACTCCCGGCTGGCTTCTCTCTGGAATTAAAGGCAGTCTTCAAAATAGGGTGTTTGTTAGAGAACTTCAGCTGGGAGGAAACCTGCCATTTCGGATCAGTGCGTTTTCTGTGCTGGGCTTCCAGACATACCCTTAGCCCCATGTTCATCTGGGGAAGGGGAGAGGAGCAGGAGGGAGGCTTTTCGTGTGGCATGGGGCAACGGGGGAGAAAACAGCAAGGTGCTTCAGGCGGCAGGCTGAAGCCCAACAGATGCTGGGATACAAATCATTTCGGGGGAGCAGGGGCGTCTCGGGTTCGTGCCCGCGGCAGGGGCGAAGGGAGAGGAGAGGGGACGCCAGGTGAAAGGGCTCTGCTCCCACCCGGGACGGAAAGCCCGTCCCCAGCCCTGGGACGTGCCGCTGCCGCCGCTGGGTCCCCGCTGAATGGAGCGGATAATGATCCCCGGTTCCCAAGGCAGGCTTGCTGCTGCCTGGTGAGCCTTGGATTTGTGTGGTCCAAGCCTTTCCCAGCTTGTCCCATTCTGTCACCGGGATAAGGGGCTCCCTCGGCTCGTTTGCACCTGCGTCGCTTTTGGCTCCTTCAGGAATGCGCTGAAGCTTGTAATCAGCTTTGTGAAGCCATTGAGTGCACGGCTGAGTGAAACTTCCAAAGCTCGCAGAAAACTGGCCCGCTGAATAGGAGTCAGCATGGGGCTTCTCTCCAAGCCCCTGGCCTGCCAAATTCCAGCAGAGCCCCTCACAATCAGTCCACACAAGCTTTACTGCTCTCCCCACACTGAGAGAAGCGAGAAAAGAAAAGCTAAAATACCAGTCACCGAGGTTAGCAGTTTGTTCCCAGATTAATGGCAAACGCCTCTCTGCCCGATGCTAACCAATTCATTCGGCTGATGTGTGTGTACATATATATATATACACACACACATATATAAATGTGTATATATATGTGTGTGTGTGTGTGTCTGTATGTGTGTGTGTATCGATATACATGCATATGAATATGTATGCAAGCCTATGGCTATAACATTAAAAAGGAGATAGGGAGAATTATTAACATTTTATGTGACCGCAGAAGATCTCATGGCAGCAAACAGGTAGCAGGCTGTTTTGCTATCCCACAGGGTCACGCTATTCTCGTCTCAGTCTTTTCTGCACCCGTGTGGTTTTGAGACTCTGCATGAGTGTGACTCTCATCTGCAGTCTGGTTTTCCATCTGGAGGGGTTTAGTACCAAACAAAACTCCGGAGGAGAGCAAAAGGAAATAACGAGCCTGTTAAAAAAAAAAAATCACCAAGCCCACCATCACTAAACCCACTCCAGAATAACTCAAGAGGACCAAGGCTCTGGGGCACTCGCACGATGGGTTTGCCATGCCCAAGGCTCACAGCCACCCCATGGGGCCACCCTTGGGGAAGAGGAGATTCTCCACTGCAGCCCTGATCACTTCCCTACTGGGGAAAAGCATTCAGGAAAGGTCCCACTTGAGGCAATCCCTTCATTTTTAACATCCTTAACACTTGCAAAATGTATTCCTTCACTCCTACTCCCACCATCTAATTTCACAGGCAGGAGCGACGCTAAACAACCCGGGAATACGTAGCACAACTTCATGACACCTTTTATCCGGGCTCTGTATGGGGTTGAAGATTCACATTTATTAGGGGAAAAAATTGCTCGAGTTATAGAAACCCATCCCTTTCTAAAGCAAGTTCTGACACTGTAATAAATGCTGTGAAATGTTCTTAAATCTAAAAGTGCAAGATAAGTGCACTGTGACATCAAGTCTATGAGTATAGACCAGTCGAGCAAGGCTTTGTCTTCTGGTCTTGGGACTTTTAATTCCATTTATGTCCTTCCTCTTCTACATGTATCTAAAACAATGAAAACAACATTATGACAACATTAATATTTTTTGCAAGCCCTCCTCTTGGGCTAGCATAAGGGGGGAAATGGAGACTTCCAACATTTCCAGAGATGATGTCTCCTGAAGATTTTAACCATGCCTCTGAATCAAGTCGTGGAAATCATGTTTTCTTGTCATCCACATTAAAATAGCCGTGGCAGAAGGGGCAGAACTAGCTCCACTAGAGCTGGTAGATGTTTCTTGTGAGTTCAGCAGGATTCTGTCTCGCTTTGCTGCTCATGCTTTTGGCGTCTTCTCAATTACTGCAATTTTCAGGAATGTCCCAGAAACTGATAACAGCAGTAGGTGTTTTTGCCATTGCTTTCTGACGAGTTTGTAGGGCTCATTGGACAGTCTCTTGCACAGTGGATGAATAGTTTAGCAGCATCAACCCTCTGGCTCCCAAGTCACTCTAAGGATAAGGTAACCTCTAATGTAAAGAGTTAGGTAGCAAAAGCACAGAGGACGATGTCTTGATGTTGAGGTCCTGACCCTTGGAACTGCTGCTGCACAAAAACTTCTACACGCGGCCACAAGCGGTTTAAAGCCACATCTCTTTCTGTCTGTAAAGTTTCTTTTCTTTTTGGAAGTTTGATGTGCTATTTTCGACCATGTTGCTCCTTCCAACCATTCTCAGTGACAAGTCATGAGGATATGCAGTAATTCAGAAATTAGTGAAATTTTATTCTTGGTGGGGGCGTTGGATTAAGAGGCTGGGAGAGTGTGAAACAAGTCAACGTGTAATTGTATGATAAGGCTCTCACGAGGAATTTATTGGCCAAGTTGCTATTTCTATTCCTTCCTAATCTCGTTTAGCACATTCATTCTCTGCAATCTGTCTCCATAATCTTCTGTGACAGAATGGCAGCCAATAGAAGCATGCATGTTTGGAGAGAAGAGAAAATATGCAGAGGCGTGATAAACTGATGCTAATTATCCATATTTAGGACACCGAGTGCAGAAGATCAAGGTTTACAAATAACAAACCAGAGCCAATGATGATGGCTTCCTAGTGTGGAATATATTGGAGGGGACAAGATAAGGGTTTCACATGCAGAAGAGATTTATTGGTCAAAGGGTTCACCTTCCACTTTTCCACTTTTATATAGCAGTAAATTATTTGGGCTAAATTCACCAGAACATTACTCTTTTATTTGGCAATGTGCCATGACTTGCTCTTTCTTTGTGTCCTTTCAATGCAAATCCTTGTAGTGTAACATCAGTTGATAAGAAACAAATAATTGAAGTAATAGGTAATTCCCTTTAAATTGTGCATATAGGACAGTAAGGTAATCATCTAATGTAGAATGAGACCGGAGTATAGAGCAGATAACTGAAAGTGAAACAATATCCATCTCGGCTATTAAATTACATTTATGCTGGAGAAAAATAACCTGCAGAAGACTTGTAGGCTGAAGAAGAGACAGCACTAGTCTAGTCACCCTTAGGCCATTTTCCTACAGACTTCTCAAATTTATTTAATTTTAAAAGACAGCTTACCACCATTTTCCTCGCTTCCCCTTTCTCTCTCATTTCTTTTTTCTTTTATTTTTTTCTCGAAAGCTAACATTTAAATTAGTGACTCTGCATTCCCCTTTTAAACAAGTGTTGGCTCTGAGAAATAGTAAGGGAATTCAGTTTGGCAGTATCTGTGTAGTATGGTTGAGGGTCAGTGGAGTGATCTTAGCAGTCTGCAGTAATTGTATTGTAAAGATTCCAAAATGAGAATAATATTTGTTGAGTTTATTTATATTTACAAGTTCAGAAAATATTCTGTATAGTGGCAAAATTCTAAATGTTGTTTCTGTTAGCACCTTATTGTCAGGTGGAGGTAAACTTTTCTTTAAGAAATTCACTCTTGAATTGTGTGTCAGCACTCCTGGCTTCTCGAATGGTATTTTTCCTGTGTTGGTGGTACAGGGATACTCTGCAAAATACAGAACCCTGCTGTCAGAGCAGAAAATACAAAGACCCTTCCATTAGGAACACTCTTCAAACTATCTCTTCTTTGATATCTGAAAAGACATTTCTTCCGTGACTACTCGTTTCAGAGAAGAAAATTTTCTGACTTTTTGTTTTACTGCTGAATGACTGTGGATTTATTTCTCCTCCCCTCTCAGGTATTCCTTTAAATTGGTTCGTATTTTGTGTTTTGTGGAGGGGCTAAAACACTGCAGTACCAAGCTGAACATTTTCACAGGTTTCCTAAAAATATTTCTAAGGGCAGTCAAGCTTTTTCAAATTCCCATAAGTAGCTGACTTCCCTCAAAATGACCTGAAACACAACGTTAGGGAAGGAAGGTAGGCTAGCAGACAAGAGTCTATGACAAAAGTCATAGAAGTAGCCATTTGGTCACTAGTGGACAAAAATGAAGGGCATAGGGAGCGGAGCAAGGATGTGGAGCGCGACAGCTCGGGGACAAGCCCGACTCTGGGACTGTCCCTGCAGTCGGTGCTGGCCCATGAGACGCTCCCGGGCTCTCTGGACAGGGAATGCCCGGCTCCCCCGCTAAATTCCACCGGGGCCAGTCCCACCTGTCCCGCTCGGGGAGGGCAGAGCGGAGCCCTCGCAGCCCGGGGGCCGCGGGTTCCCGAGTCAGGTGAGCCTTTGTCCCGCGTCCCCTCTGCAGGGACAGGAGGCGTTTATCTCCCCGGCAACGCCGCAGCCCGGCCCGGAGCCGCTCCCCGGGGACCTGGGGCTCCCCGCTCGCATCCCGGCTGCCACCACCCGCTTCCCGCTGTCCCCCGCCGTCCCACAGCCCGCCTGCCCCCGCAGGAACGGGGAACGCCGCTGCCCACGGGAATACGGGCCCGGGGAGCCCCGAGCCGCTCAGCCGGAGCGCGGGGGCAGCGCCCGGTGCCCCCCGGCCAGGGGGGCCGCTCTCTTCGCCTTCTGTGACAAACGGTGCGGGGCTACCGGGGTGGGGTGAGGGCGGGTGTGCAGGGATAGCGGGTCCTGGCCTTCATTAAATGACTTTTGGCAACTGGCTTGTCTAATCGGGGGGATTTTGGCAGCAACGGGCTAAAATCCAGCCCGGTTTAGATCTGCAGCCCTTTTGGCTGGAGGCAGAGAGACAGGAAGCTCTGCTGTAGCTGCCTCCGACCCTCCTTTCCGTACGATCTTTCTCTCCCTGCTCGTAGGGAAAAGGCAGACGTCTTCCACCGCAAATTCTCAGAGTGTTGTTGAAATCAGCATTTCAGAGTTCCGTTTGCCGTCTCCAGAGACTCTGGAAATCCCTGCAAGCCTGGTGCTCTCGCTGAGCGAGGCGTGCGCACCGGCGAAGGGAATGCCGAAGAAGTTTCCCTTTCAAGGGTTTTGCGGCTGCGCTTACTATTTGATGCTCATTGAGGGAAAGAGCTCCGTTCCAGATGTTGTCCAACTCTTTCACAGAATAGAAACTGAGCTTCTGTAATACTTTTTCTGCCCGTTTTTCATTTTTTAGAAATTATTATGTTGCGTACCACAAAAGACAAACACGATCCTCTGTGAATTTTAGCTCTGATTTTCTTCATACTTCCACTCAAATTTCATGCCTGTAGCGAGTCCTCTTCCTGTTAGGCAATGAGGATGTTATAATAAAACTAGCAGATATGACAAGACACCTCGGTTCGGCGGTACCTGAACCTGGTGTGCAGCCATGTAAGCATGGAGAGGGACCTGCATTCTGCAGCAAACCTCCGGAAACTATGATGGGATGCTCCCAAGGACATGACGTCATTGCATACATTTGTGAAGCAGACACAATTTTTATTACAGATTTTTTCTTTTTTAATCTGTCTCCTTGTTAAAGGAGATCAACAAGAATACCCCGAGGAGGGGAGACCGTGTTTTAAACAACGGGCTCTGAGTTCGTCCATTTTCATGACAATAGGCTTACCTTTCAAACGCAGTATTTTCTCTTATTGAACATCTAAGGCTCCCCTAAGACAGATGATAAATCCAGACGTCTAAATAAGGAACACTTAACCATGAAAACATGAACACATCGTTTAGACATTATGAAATATATAAAACATGTCTGAGATGCACAGACACATCTAGTTTATCTACCTGAAACTACCCACTGGACAGTAAAGCTACATAGCACGCTTCTACCAAATTGTACAGAATTGGGCTCCTTTGGTCATGCAAGGATGCTTTATGCAATAATGCCACTTCATTGCTTTCCTGTTCTTAAATATGTGGATTGATGGCACATTCATCATGATCAGCTTTTCCCACTTATCTAGTCAGTTTTGGTCTGTGACCCCTAAAACTGAGATGCTGCTATATTCGGGAAAATCAGGCAGAACTTTTCCCTGCAGCTGCTTAGTTAAAACAAAATGAATAGGAGATTATTTGTTGTCTCTCAAACTTAGTCTGCTAAAGGGACATTTTGGTTGGAGGCATAGCAGAAACTTCCTCAGCCTTGCTAGAAAGTTAGAAACTGAGAGGAAAAAGTACGGAGGAAGCACTTTTGGATGGAGAAATGCATGTTCTACTCTCACTATCTCGTTCTCGACTGTTCCATAAGACACTTCAGTAATTATTTGGCACTAGAGCACAGAAATTTCCCTTTTGGAGAACGCAATCCATGTCCATATCCCTCTTCACTCTTATGGTTGTCCAAAACACTGCGGAGGAGTTTTTTCAGGCTAAACTCCATGCTTCCCTTATTCGTTCTCTGTCCTAACACATGTAGGCTTGAGCTCACCTACAACTGTGTATGTTAAAAGACGTTTCCCACTTAGTTTTCCTTTTTGTGGTTCTTCAAGGTAGAAAATGCACGTGTTCACAGTGACTCGACTGCACAACATCTTGGGGTTTGCATTATTTCCTACAATCTGTCATCGGGGAGGAAGGGGGACCATGACAAATCATGAAGCTTTCACCTGCCCTGTGACTGAAAAGCCATTTGGGGGAAGGTAAGACTGATAATGCACGAAGGCACAGACAATTTAAAAAACCAAGCAAACAAGCCCTTAACAAAAGCAAGCCCTCTTTCTCTCTTCTGCTACCTACAGGTAAAATAAAAGGTAATACGGAACGTTAATCTGATCACGTGATCAAGGAATTACTCAAGACTTTCCCAAAAGATAAAGATTCCCAGTGAGCAAGGAAAGAAGGAGAGACGACGTTTGAGGTGTATGTAACTCGGAAGCACTGTAGATGGTTTCAGACTTTTCCTCACCAGGTGGGAATTGTGTTTTCGTGTCTTACTTCGTTTTGAACTCCCCTGCTTGGGGTTTTAGATCTTTCCTGGCCTTGGGCTACTTGTGTTTGTAGCTCCAAAACTGAACAGCCATTCATTCTTCTAATCTGATTAGGATTGAACTATCCACTCACTAGTGGCTTTAGCAGGACAATCTTCCTATGGACTTTTTCTGCATTGGAGAGATTAAAAAAAAAAAAAAAACAAAACCAAAACCAACAAAAACAATCACATCAAAACAAACCCTTCTGGAATCTGTGCGAGACAATTTTTGGGTAGGAAATAAACTTCTCCCTACTCCCTCTGCACCCCTCCTGCAACTTCACCCCCCTCCTTGGATGTATGGTGCCTTTGTTCACCACTAGTTCCTAGTTGCTATGGAGTTTTACGCCTTGGTAAACTATATTTCACCTCCTCCCGGTGAAAGCTATTCTTCCCCTAAATGCACACTTTGCAGACTCCGGTCCTTCCTCCCGGTGTCGGTCGCACTTCCTCAGCCCACGCTGCTCTGCCCCGGGCTAAAGCCGCGTTTTCCCACTCGGATCTCAGCTCACCCTCTAGCACTTGCCCAATTGTTTGACCACGGACAGATGCTCTCCTGCTTCTCCTCGGTTTTATTGTCCTTCATTTTATTTTTTTTAAGGTTTCTGAGGGACAGTCCCTCTATCTGAGAGCCGCAGCTAACCGTGGCACACGTCTTCTCCAAATCAATGAGAGGTGTCCGGGCTGAAAGCGTGGACAATGGGATTTTACCGAGCATGAAGCATATTACCCCCAAACCCGTCCTGACAGGCCGTGCTAAAGCATTTGAATGACTTTCTTGAAACGAGACCCTTCTGAAGGCTCCTCCCTCCAGAGAAATACACCATCCAGGAGAGATAGGCATGAAAGTGCACGGGGGCACCCAAGGCTTTGTAAATTGGGGGTGGGGTGCGCTTCCTTTGTCACAAAGCCTCACTGCTTCCACCCCAAAGCCAGGGACCAGTGTGCTTTACCTTGGGGGCTGCCCCTCATTCACCACAAGCTCCGGACATGTTAAGGGATGGGATTTTCACTTTAAAACTTCCAGACTTTTTGAAGGCACATACCGCGGTGTGGTTCACCTCAGTCAGCTACCAATCTCTAGCCTACCCTACAGAGGCATCTCCAGGTATGTCCTGGTTTTAGACATAAAGACTGGGAAGGACTTCCAGGTTTCCTGCTAGCATTTTGGCCATGCAGCTACAGGAGTGGGCTCCATATATCACACTGCTGTTACACCAAAGATCCTCAAAAATTTAGTTTGTTAATCTTTACTTTTGCAAAGTTTCCTCCAACAGCAGAGTGGTTCAGTGCATGCAAAAGTCAATGGGCTTTCGCTTCAGCCTCTAAAGAAAGCCTCCAGTTACATCTGTACCTGCACACCAGGTTCCCCAGCTCCTCTGCCAGCTGTCCCGCTGCTCGGGGCCGCCCTAGTGTTCCAGTTTTTCCTGACACTATTGAGCAGAGGCACGGCGGGGCTGGAGCCAGCAGGCAGGCAAGGCCCTGTCCTCTCCGCACCCACAATCTGTTATCCCTCCTACCCCCGAGCACCGGGTCGGCTCCCGCCGCTCCCTCACGCCCCTGGCTGCAGATACTCGGTTCGCACCAGCTGCCCGGCTCGGAGCTCTGCAAGACCATGTCCTGCCTCGTTTTCTGTTTTGCCTCCTCTTTCTTTTGGCCTTGCCTCTTCAGAAGTGACTTTTCAGCCAAGCTTGGCTGTCTGACTCCTCTCCGCCTCGGCCGTGTGAAACCTCCTGCCTCAGACTTCAGTTTCCCCACGGAAAGCAGCATCCATGCCTAACCTCAGAGGGAGAGCCCCTTCGTCTTGGCCGGTCCCCTCCTGTCCCAGCCTGGCTGTCCGGGGCGCCAGCGCTCTGCGGAGCTGCGGGAGTGCCTAGGCGCTGGGGGCACGGAGGGGCAGCGGGGCGCGACGGCGCCGCGTTTTGCAGAGCGGGAACACGCGTGGCCGCAGGTGCCTGGGGTTTCACTCTGCGCTTTCACAAGGGATGGCTCCGAACCGGGCCAGGCCCGTTGGCTTCAGATCCCCTTCGGTTCGGACGATGTGCACAGAGACGCTCGGTGCTGCTCGTGGGGTAGCGCCGAACCACCTCGCTTTTGGGGGTGCTGAGTTTTCTGGTAGAGGAGGAGCCAAAATGCCGTGAGGTGGAGGGACAGCTTGCTT